CTCTGCCACCCGGGAGCAGGCCTAAGCCAGCAGGTCGTTATCTCCCGAGGGGTCCCAGACTGCGAGAGGGCACAGGCCGGGCTGGGAGACCCCCCTCCCCCCCAAGTGCACAAATTTTTGTGCACCGGGCCTCTAGTATCCATATATATTGCCAAAGCACCCTCCAGAAATTTTTAACAATTTCCAGTTCCATCAACAGTGTATGCTATTTTTAAATATATATGTATTTATTTTAGAGATGAATGGAGAGAGAGAGAGAAACATCAATGATGAGAGAGAATCATTGATAAGCTGCCTCCTGCATGCCCCACATTGGGGATCAAGCCCGCAACCAGGGCTTGTGCCCTGACTGGGAATCTAATCATGATCTCCTAGTTCACAGGTCGACACTCAACCACTGAGCCATGCCAGCCGGATTATATATTCTTTATAAATTTTAGATATTAACCCATTATCAGATGTATCATTAATGAATATGTTATCCTACTCAGTGGGTTCTTTTCATTTTGTTGATGGTTTCCTTTGCTGTACAACACTTTTCAGTTTGTTGTAGTCCCATTTGTTTAATTTTTCTTTCATTTCTCTTGTCTGAGGAAATATATCAGAAAAAAACATTGCTATGTGAAATGTCCAAGGTTTTACTGCCTTTGTTTTCTTCTAGAATTTTTATTGTTTCGACTCTAACATTTAAATATTTAATTCATATTGAGATTATTCTTATGTTATGGTAGAAGGTGGTCTAGTTTCATTTTTTTTGCACATATTTGTCCAATTTTCCCAACCCCATTGTATTTTTTTGACTCCTTTGTCAAATATTAATTGACCATAAGGGTGTGGGTTTATTTCTTGTCTCTATTCTGTTTCATTAATCTATATATCTGTTTTTATGCCAGTACTATGCTCTTTTGATTATTATGGCCTTGTTGTATTGTTTGATATCAGGTAGCACGATTCCTCCAACTTTGTTCTTTCTCAATATTGCTGTGGTTATTTGGGGTCTTTTGTGGTTCCATATAATTTTTTTAATGCTCATCAAATTATTCGTGCTATGTCATTAATAATGGCTACTCTTCTTAATACTCCTTAGGCTAACTGCTTCTTTGTTTTCCCTCTGGGATTTATTTTTTCATTTTTAATGAGGTTTTTCTTTTTATTATTGATTTAGAGCAGGGATGGGGAAACATTTTTCTGCCAAGGGCCATTTGGATATTTATATCATAATTCACTGGTCATACAAAATTATCAACTTAAAAATTAGCTTGCTATATTTGGTCAAACATATAATTAACTCACCTCTAATGCCTTGGCAGGACCAGATGAAATGATATTGCGGGCCTTATATGGCCCGTGAGCCAGATATTCCCCACCCCTGAGTTAGAGAGAGGAGTGGAGAGAGAAAAAAACACATCGATTTGTCACCTCGTGAACATGTTCTGACCAGGGATCAAACCCACAACATAGGCACGTGCTCCAACAGGGAATCGAACCAGTGACTCTTTAGTGTATGAGATGACACGCCAACCAACCAACTGAGCCACATAGGCCAGGGCCCATATAAATTTTTAGAATATTTTATTTTTTAAATTTTATTTATTTAATTTTTTTGTTTGTTTGTTTATTTATTTACTTAAAATTAAGTTCTTTACTGTTTAATGTATTACATAAGTCTCCTTTTTTCCCCATTGACCTCTACCCGGCTGCTCCCAACCCACAGTGCATGCCCTCACTCCCCTCCCCCCCATCTGTGTCATTGGTTATGTTCATATGCATGCATATAAGTCCTTTGGTTGATCTCTTACCCCTTCACTCCCCACCTTCCCTCATTCTGTGAAATATGCCATTGGTATCTTGATAGGAATTGGTTGAATCTAAATGTTTTCTTTGTGTAGTGTGACCATTTTAATGATATTAACTCTTTCTGTCCATGAACACGATATATGCTTCCACTTATTTGTTTCTTCTATTTTTTTCTTCAGTGTCTTATAATTTTCTGAGTACAGGTCTTTTATATCCTTGATTAAATTTATCTCTAGGTCTTTTATTTTTTGAAGCAATTATAAATGGGATTGTTTTCTTGGTTTCCATTTCCAAATATTTCATTATTGGTGCATAAAAATACAACTGATTTCTGGAAAACTGAATTCATTTATCAGTTCTTGTAGGTTTTTGGTAGAATATTTAGCGTTTTCTATTACAGTATCATATCATCTGAAAATAATGACGGTTTTATTCTTCCTTTCCAACTCAGAGACTTTTTATTTCTTCTTCTTGTCTGATTGCTGTGGCTAAGATCTCCAATGCTATGTTGAATAAAATGGTGAAAGCATACATCTCTGTCTCTTTCTCAATCTTAAGGGAAATACTTGTAGTTTTAGTTGCTCTGATTGGATGTTTTTATTTTTTACCTTGTCTTCCAAATCACTGATTTGATCTTTGACTTCATCCAACCTACTATTTATTCCTTCCAGTGCATTCTTCATTTCAGACATTGTATGCTTCATTTCTGCCTGGTTCTTTTTTATGGTTTCTATGCTCTTTGTCATGGTGTATAGTTCTCACTAAGTACTTTGTAGTTTTCAAGTGCCTTTTTTCTGAACTCTATATCTGATAAGTTGCTTGTCTCCATTTCATTTAGCTCGTTGTCTAGCAATTTCTCTTGTTCTTTCATTTGGGGCATGTTTCTCTTTCTACCCATTTTGGCTGCCTCTTTATGTTTGCTTCTATGTATTAGGTAAATCTGCTATGACTCCCAGCCTTGGTAGGGCGGTCTTATGTAGAAGGTTTCCTGTGGGCCCCAATGGCACAGTCTCCTTGATCACCTGATCTGGGTGCTCCGGGAATGTCCCTTGTGTGGGTACACGTGCCCTCCTATTTTCATTGAGTCTTGATTGCTATTGGCCTGTTTATGTGTGGGTGGACCCTCAGGCTGGTTGACTGTGAAGATCAACCTCAACCACAGTGTATGAGGTGCTAATCAGGTGTTGACCATATAAAGCAGAATTTGCCTCAGAAAGGTCTGGTGTCTGCTGAGATCTCCCTTTGGATATGCTTCTTGTGAAGCTAATGGGATCCTGCTCTGATGCTGTCTGAAGCTGGCCACTGGATGTATTGGTTCTGGTGCCTCTTAGGAGGGACTCTGGTATGGGCCAATGTCAGATGCTGCCTGTGAATGACCCTGGGCAGCCTGTTAGGAGCTACAAAGCAATCCACAGTTTGTGGCTGCCTTTGCTGGGCCTGGGTGTGTGCAGGAATGACCAAGCTGTGCACCAAGGTTGGCTGTTACCAACACTAGGCTTGGGAGCAGGTCAGCAAAAGTCCCCAAGGTACCATGAGATCTGACTTCACCTGCCTCTGCCTGCCAGCTGCCTGTTAGGCTCAGCCACTGAAAGAAGCCTCTGACTATACTTAAGTTGCATGAGGTGGGTGATTAGTGAGTCATTAGGTCGGGGTGAGTGGTGTTAAATAGATTGATGCACATTCAAACTCAGTGCCAGTACTGGGTCTGAGGTCACTCAGCAAATGTCCCAGGATATACCAAGTCTAGCTACAACCCACTTGATGCTCACATGCTTTTGTGGTGGGGCAGGATCTCAAACAGTCATTGGGGTGAGGCCAACAGAGTTTATCAGGCCCAAACAGATCAAAATTTGGCTATGTGAAGGGAGGGCTCTGCATAGTTCGGGCATGCAAGGGGACAATGTCCCCGATGCTAGAGCCACACACAAATCAGTCTGTCTCACATTCTGCTCAGTGTTTGGTCTCAGCAGGGCAGGGCCACCCAGAGTTGTCAGGATGGGGCTAGTGGATCTCCCATGAGGGGACGTGCTGGTCAGGTTTGGTGGAAGGTGGGGGGCGTGGCCTCCACACCAGAACCACACAACTCAGTCTGTTCCAGATTCTGCCCAGACCTGGCGGGGTGGAGCCACCTGGATTCAGGAGCGTGGGGCCGCTAGAGCCCGGAGAGTGGTGCTAGCAGATCTTTTGGGAGGGGGAGGCACCAGTGAAGTTCACGGGAAAGTGGGGGGAATATCCCCCATCCCAAAGCCACCCAGCTCTATCACTGACACCCCCCTGGGTCTGCCCAGACTTCTACACCCTGGCCTAGGCTGCGGACTCCTCAGTAGGTTGCATGTTCCGCAGGGTGGGGTGACAGGGAGTCCAGAGGGTGGGGTAATTGCATCAGTTGTATGGAAGGGTATGATCCACCCAAGAAAGATGATGTCTGTGGGCTGTGTGGGAGAGTGACTCAGCACAGGGATCATGGTGGCTGTCCCTTCAGTTCTCTCCCCAGATGCACAAACATCAGTCTCTCCTCATGCATTCCTAGTCTACTCTACCCTTTCTCCTCCACCAGAGTCCAAGGTGAGAGACTGTGAATGAGATTTTATATACTGGCCCTTTAAGAGTGGCCTGTAAATATATATATATATATATATGTGGCCTGTGTCTCTTGCAGACTTAGAGGACAGAATTGCTGATTCTCACGGCCTGATATTATGTGGGTGCCTCTTCCTGGCTCTACTGCTCTGAACTGGGGACCCTGGCTTGGGGTTGAAACCTCATTCTTCTCAGGGGGAACCTTTGCAGTTGAGATATCCCTCCAGAATCTCAGCTGCCACCCATCTCTGTCCTTCCTATCAGTCTCTATGTGGCTTCTTCTGTAAATCCTTGGCTATAACAGTTCTCTTCAGCTAGTCTTTAGTTGGTTATTCAGGTTGACTGCTCTATATTTTAGTTGTAATTCCTGTTTGGTCCTGGGAGGAGGTGAGTGTAATATCCACCTACTCTACTGCCATCTTGTATCTCTGTAATGTTTCTTAAGCAAGAAAGAAATATCATGTTAAAGTTAGCACAGTGGGAACATCCATGGGATTATGTCTCATGGAAATATCACTTGTCATGTGTGAGGAGGGCAAAAAGGTGAGAGCTGTTGCTCTGCCAGTTGGTGGAGCAATGACTGTACAATCATTTTAGGCAGTACCAAAACAAAACAAAACAAAACAAAACACATACATCCCTGAATGTTTTCTGCATAGCCATAATTTTGTCTTAATTTAATTTTTATCAAAGTCAAACACATACATAGTTTTAAAACTTAGATAATACTGTAAGATTCATCATGAAAATCATATGTTTCATGAGAATGCTTTTCCACTCTGTTCTTGTTCCCCTGAAGCAACCAACATTTGGGTTAAATGAATAATTGGTGTTTACATTATGATGATGCAAATTTTCTTCATAATTGAATTGTATGGTATGCTATCACACTTGTTTTTTTCTGGGCTTAATGATTGCCTCATATTTTATTAGGTTTTCTTCTTTAAATTGCCTGTTAGAACTATATTCCTGCCAATATGATCAAGCATGCTAGATTAATCTGCATCAGCTATGTCCTGAAATCTTTCTGCTCTAATCCAGACTGTTACTCTCTATGCTGGTACATAGGCATCATCCCACTACCATAATTCTAGGAATTTACCTCACTTCTCTCTTGGGTTGGATCCCATGTCTAGTTTTTATCCTTTATTCTCTTATTGTGGGGGTTATATATCCTGGTGGTTTCCTGAGACAGTGAGTAAAAGAGGTAAATATTTTTTAATCCATACAGTTCTGAAAATATCTATAATCTATCTTTACACATGCTAGGTATAGATCTCTGTTGTAAAAGAACTTTTTTCAGTATTTTTATGATATTTAATTACCAGAGGCCCAGTGCACAAATTAGTGCACCAGTGGGGTCCCTCAGCCTGGTCTGCGGGATCGGGCCGAAACCGGTTTTCCAACATCCCCCAAGGGGTCCTGGATTGTGAAAGGGCACAGGCCAGGCTGAGGGACCTCACTGGTGCACAATCTGGGCCAGGGAGGGATGTGGGAGGTTGGCCAGCTGGGGAGGGATCATGGGAGGGCTCCTGGGCATGTCTGGCCCATCTTGCTCAGTCCCGATTGGCCAGACCTTGGCAACAAGCTAACCTATCAGTCGGAGCATCTGCCCCCTGGTGGTCAGTGCACGTCATAGAGAGTGGTTGAGTAGCCTTAGCATATCATTAGCATATTACGCTTTTGTTGAACGGATGACCAGACGACCGGACACTTAGCATACTAGGCTTTTATTATATAGGATATTTTGGTTTTTATAGTTCTTGAGAACTTTAAATTTGATTGCTGATCCTTCATATATGACCACCTTTTTAAAAAAAAAAAAATTTTACTGATTTTTTACAGAGAGGAAGGGAGAGGGATAGAGAGCCAGAAACATCGATGAGAGAGAAACATCGATCAGCTGCCTCCTGCACACCCCTGACTGGGGATGTGCCCACAACCAAGGTACATGCCCCTGACTGGAATCGAACCCCGGGACCCTTCAGTCTATAGGAGGACGCTCTATCCACTGAGCCAAACCGGCAAAGGTGACCACCTTTTTTTGTTTTTCAATTCTAGAAGCTTTTAGGATATTTTCTTTATTCCTAAAGTTCTAAAATGTCATAGTGATAGATTCTGGCATACAACTTTTGTTTTTTTTTGGAATCTGTAAATTCAAGTATTTGGTAGATTAGACAAATATTGTGCGTTAATTCATGATAATTTCTTTCCCCTGTGTTTTCTCTTTCTGGAACTTCTACTTGTCATATTGATTGATGTCCACTTCCTGGATCGATTCTCTACTCTTCTTATCTTTTCTCCCCTATTTTTTTTATTGCTTTGTCATTTTGTTCTACATTATGGAAGATGTCCTTGACTCTATCTTCTAATAATCCTGCTGAATTTCTTAAAATTGTTGCTATTATATTTTTTAAGATTGTAAGAACTTTCCATCGATCTACTCTTGTTCTATGATTGCAATTTTTTTCATATCTTTTAGGATCCTAATTATATATTTAATTGTTGCTCTCTGCATTGCCTCTATTTTCAGTTTGTGTGTTTAAATCTGTTTGATATTTTTCTTAGAGGTTTATCTAAAATATTTAGTGATCTTTGCCTTCATTTCATATTTAAAACACAAGGCACCAAGAAAATATGGGTAGCAGTGTGTGTGAGTGTGTGTGTGTGTGTGTGTGTGTGTGTGTGTGTGTGAGAGAGAGAGAGGAGAGAGAGAAAAGAGAGAGAGAGATGGGGGGGCAGAGAGGCAGGAGAGGATTTTACTCATAGGTCTTTAATCTTAAGTTGGCCGTTTTCCCCAGAGAGCAATCATCTAGTATCTTGCCTGGAAGCAAAAATCTGACTGCCATATTTTGAAGGACTCATCATAAAGTATTTAGGCCAGCAATTTTCAAAATGTGGTCTATGGATTGATCCCAAGGCTTCCCAAGACTCATTTAAGGATTACAGAGCCAAAAGTATTTTCATAATAATAAGATGATATTTGCCTTTTTTACTATGTTGGTACTTGCCCTGATGATGCAAAAACAACTGTAGGTAAAATTGCTGGTGCTTAGCACTAATCAATGGCACTAAACTCTGCTAGCACTCACTGTATTCTTCACCGTCATGCGCTTGCAGTTAAAACAAAAATTAAAAGCAGTTGCACTTAAGAATGTCTTTAATGAAATGTGAAAGTTATTATTTATTATTTAATCTTGACCCTTGAATGCACATCCTTTTATTGCTCTCTGTGACAAACGAGAAGTGCACACAAAATACTTCTGCAGCACAACCAAGCGTGCCTGGTGTCCTGAGGAAAAGCCCTTGTGCAATTGAGTTACAAGCTGAACTCCCTGTGGTTGGTTTTTTCCCTCAGAAAACCATTTTTACTTGAACGAATGACTTACAAAGGATGGTCATTCTGATGTGGCTATTTGGCAGACATTCTCTCAGAAATGAACAATCTTGTCACTTCAAGACAAATGACTGGTAGTATTTGTTGCCAATAATGGAATTTAAGTTTTCAAAAGGAAGTTAGGATTTTGGAAGACTTGTATCTTTCACCACCACAAACTTGAAACCTTCACAATAATGTGCTCAGCAACTATACTCACCAATATGACTTTTGAATATTGTATAAATAAGTGTACCATTATTTGGAAGATCTACCTAAATCAGTAAACTGGTACTTCCCAAATAACCAATGTAAAATGTTAAAAAATAATGCATGGGTAAAAATGAAAGATAGACCAATGGATTATAATGTAATCAAGTAAAAAAAAAATCATTGATATAGTTTTAATTTCCACATTGCAATTCTTCTTTCAGAAACTACCATTTGTTGAGTTGTGGTGTAGCATCAAAGAAAATTATTCACAGTTACCTAAAAAGGTGATTAAGATACTCATCCCTTTCTAACTATGTATCTTTGTGAGGTTGGATTTTCTTGATATTTTTCTACCAAAACAACATATGACAAATTGAATGCAGAAACAGATATGAGAATCTATCATTAATATCTAAACTGGACATTAAAGAGATCTATGAAAATGTAAAACAGTGTCACTCCTCACTATTTTCTTTTTGTTTTTGAAACATAGTTATGTTTTCTAAAATGCTACTTGCATCAGTATATAATAGGCTTGCTATTGTTATTTAAATGATTGCTAAATAAACACTTTGTCATTTATTTCAGTTGTAATTTATAGTAAGATATTGATACACATAACCAATGTAAACAAAAACTCAGAGGTTCTTAAAATCCTTAAGAGTGTAAATGGTCCTGAAACCAAAAGCTTGAGAATACTTGACATAGACAGTTACTTAACCCTTAAGTTTTTTGTATGGTTCCAAACCTCCACTCTCTATTATCCTAATATCTCCTAATATAGAATTTATCTGATAAGCCTCCTGGTTGGTACAGGGAGAGAAGGATCTGAGAGTCTAATTTTTTTTCCAAACAGATTTCCAACTACCACTTCTTCCTCGATGCATGAATTAACAGACTTCTTGTGTGTGGTGTGTGTGTGTGTGTGTGTGTGTGTGTGTGTGTGTGTAGCTTATCTATTTATTTATTAAATTCCAGAGAGCATTATGCTAAGTGAAATAAGCCAGTCTGAGAAATATAGGTATCACATGATCTCACTCATTTGTAGAATAAAATCTACTAGAGGCCTGGTGCACAAAAATGTGTGCACTGGGGAGGGGGGGGGTCCGCTCAGCTCGGCCTGTACCCTCTCGCAGTCTGGGACCCCTCGGGAGATAACAACCTGCTGGCTTAGGCCTGCTCCCGGGTGGCAGAGAGCAGGCCCAATCCCTAGGTGCAGCCCCTGGTCGGGCTCAGAGCAGGGCTGATTGGGGAGTTGGGGCGCCGCCCCCTGTCATGCACAGAGCAGGGCGGATCGGGAGGTTGCGATGCCACCCTCAGTCACGCTCAGGGTAGGGCCGATTGGGGGGTTGGGGCACCGCCCCCTGTCACACTCAAGGCAGGGTCGATGGGGAGGTTGCGGCGCCACCCCTTGTCACGCACAGAGCAGGGCTGATCAGGGGGTTGGGGTGCCTTCCCCTGTCACGAACAGAGTAGGGCGGATAGGGAGGTTGTGGCGCCGCCCCCTATCACACACAGAGCAGCAGGGCGATCAGG